GACTCCGGCTCTACTTAGGGGGTTCATTGACAAGAAGGCTCTTCTCTTGGAAACATAAGGATAGTGGCAATGGAAGGTCTAGCATGGGAAACCAGATGTCTCAGCCCAGCTATGCCACCCAGTCACTGTGTAAAGCTCAGCAGGTAACATGCTGGCTTCAGGCCCCTCATGACTTTGTTCTCCCCAACAGTTTGGCCTGCTCAAAAGTAACTTCGTGAGGCAAAAGGGAGAGGAGTTGGCAACGTGAAATATGACTCCTAGGTGTTCATGGGCCTCTCCCAAATCCTTACCCTGACCCCTTCCAAGAGGTGACCGCCTGCTCGGTCTGCACCAGGTAGGATGGTTAGAGATCTGGGTCTCTGAATCATCACCCTCTTGCTCTGGTCTCTCTAGTGAGTACCCTCTCCTCTGCAAAATGGTGGCCTAGGACAGTTGGGTTCTTGCTGCCCCTCTGGACTGCAGCTCCTGACCATCCCTGCTTATCTTGTACAGCACCTATTTCATTTCTCAAGATTTCTAGGGAACCCTCACACCTTTTGGGTTGTCGGAAAAGTCATGACGCATTTTTGCAATGAAAACCATAGAAAAATACGTCATGACTTTTCCGACAACCCAATACATCTCTGGACATAGATAACATGCCTACTAGACCTCTCAAGGGTCCGCCCATTGTCACCCAGGGTGCCAGCAGCCAGCTGCCCCATGGGATGGAGTGGGGTGGAATAGTCATCTTATTGGGCATGGAAGGGACCAAGAGTTACCTCTACCCCTGCCCTCTGCCATCTTCCCTCTTACCACAGAGCACCTTTGAAGGATTAGGAGCAGGCATATCTTTCTCCGGCTACCTGGCAGAATGCTGTCCCTTCTGAGCAGAACAATTAGGAAGGCATCCCTTTCTCCAAGCTTATGCCACAGCGTGTGACCTGGTGAATGGAGCTGGGGCTGAAGTCCCGCAGGCCTCTCAACAGCCCCTCAACTGGGCACCCAAGGCAGGGCATAGCTGCACAGTGACCCTGGGTCACCTAGACCCTGGGAATCCAAATAAGTTACTGTATCTTCTCCATTGGGTCCTTGGTGGCATATCTGTGCTCTCATAGCTTCCTCTACAAAGCAGAGTTTTTTTATGTATATTTTTGCTAACTCAGTTAACTTCATTGGGAGGTAAAATCAGTTTCCATTTATTGAAAATAGGTGTTTACTGTACCATCTCATGTGCTCTCCAGAACCGCTCTGATGGGAAGTCATAAGATCCCCTTCACAGGGAGCACCCCTCAGTGACAGGCTGAGGTCACAGGGTCTGTTGGCTCTGGCTCCGGAGCCCTTTCCTTCCCTTTTCTTCCTCTCTCCCGGGGTCACGGCCTCTGGGTTCCTGCAGAATGCTGCCGAAATTCATCCCGTCTGTTTCAGGCCCTCCTGCTTCCGGCGGCACGCTCCTCCCAGGAAAATCTCTTGCCCACTCACTGTCTTTCCTTCTGCCACTCCCTCCTACGCATACAGGGAAGGAGAGGGAGAGTCATCTATTCCATTTGTGTCTTGTTTTTATTTTGCAAATAAAAATAAAAATTGGTTTCAAGGGAGAAGGTAGCTGCCTTAGGAAAAACTTATATCTGACTTAGAGTCTCATAAAGGAGTGGGCGTCACCAGGGGCTCCCAGATATGCCTCAAAGGGGATTTGCTTCTTTTCTTAAGCCAGGGTTAAAAACATAGTAATTTATAGTGAGTGGTTCCAGCAGAAGATACCATGCACTTCCCCACTGGACCCACTGAGTTTTCTTTTTGGTCATCATTTATGATCAGCTCTTGTTTAGAAGCCCCTCATAAGGAAGGACTTCCAAGAGCTTCGATGTTCCAGGGGAATGATGCCCAGTCGGCGAAGACGGGGCCTGGGTACCACCAGTGACCTGTGGAGGGCCGCTTCAAGGTCAGGTTCATTGTAGTGAAACTGCTTTTTAAAAAATGTTTTTAAGGGGCACGTGATATTGGGCTTTCTCATCCTTTCTTGATATTACCATGGGAGATGTAATACAGGCAAGTAGCATCCTTGTTGGGCATGTCTTCATGGTTCAAATGGTTCAACCAGTCCTGTACTTGCAGACTTTCTGGACTATCTATTTAGAAGTCTGGATGTTTCTTTCTGGGGTGGGGGCTCTCTGAGAGACTACTCTGGCATTCT